GGAGTTCTTTCTCTACTAATCATCAAGAATGAACCTTGATACCAATGATAGCATTTAGAATATACGAAGTATATGGTTAATAATAAGGTAATGATGTAGCTCACTATTTAGTAGCAAGATTCAAGCCTAACTTTCTAATCGTATATAGTTTGTGATAGGGGTGGACTCGGGCCGGGCCAACCGGCCCGCTACTGTGCGGGCCCAGACCGGCCCGGTGAACCGGTTGGTTGGCCGGTTCGGGCCACCCGGCCCGCTGGGTTCTCGGTTCGGGCTCGAGCCCTTTAAAAGGTGAGCCGGCCCGGCCGGTTCGGGTCCGGGCCGGGCCATTTTTTTTTTTTTTGAATTTTTTTAAAGTTTTTGGGTTGGACTGGGTATTTTGGGTCATTTGAGGTGGTTAGGGTTGGTTTGAAGGTGAGGGGGAAGGTTGGGGGTTAACTAGGAAAAGCCAAAAAAAAAATAGAACCGAGGCCCAGCCCGGCCCGGCCCGGCCCGAACCCGGGGGTTACCCGGGCCGGTTCCGGGCCTCCCATACCTTGAACCGAGGCCCGGCCGGTTCAAGGCCCGAACCGAGTCCATCCCTAGTTTGTGATTAAGGTGAAATTCACGAATTTATCGATTACTCCATATCGTTACACCCTTCAATCCTTCATGACCTCCTCATAAAGTTACAATTATAGTGTGCGTGGAATGATACATGGAAGGATAGTTTATATCACAACTCACACTTAAGCTCATCTCTTTTGGGAGACTTTGAACATCAAGGAGACTTTGAGTTCAAGCCATCTAGGCTCTAGCCTTACAATGTATCTTGCATGTGAAATAATAAAGTTAAAATTGTGTGGTTAAAATTTATGCAGATGAGAGATAAATATTTTTAGCCACATATTTGTTATTATAAATACAAATGACAAAAAAAATTTAGACGACCGAAAAAGAAAATTTGATAAGTTATATGAGACGGGGTAATATTTAATGTTGTTAACTAATCGTTGCGGATCTCCAAGAAGTTGTGTTGGGACCAATTGAATGCACATAATCAATTAAGAATGATTTATTGCGCATAGAAGACTACAAACAGCATCAAGAATAAAGGATTATTCGAGTGGATCACAATTTACTCTCTCAAAGGTAGGGGTGGATTCGGTTCGGGCCACCCGGCCCGGCCCGGTACTGTGCGGGCCCGGGACTGGCCCGGTCGGGCGGTCCGGGACCGGGTATGGACCCGAACCGGTGGGAATGGGCGGAGCGGGCTCGGTGCTGGATTAATGAGACCCGGCCCGGCCGGGTCAGGCCCGGGCCCGGGTCCGGTCTTAATTTAAAAAAAACAATTGGGTCTTGGGCTACTAGCCGTTGGGGGGTGAGGCTGGGGACAACCCAAACGGCTATATAGCCGTTGGGTGGGGTAAAGGGGGGGGTCCGGGGGGTTGGGTGGTGGGGGTGGTGGTGGGGGGTAAAAAAACCTATAAATACTCCTAATCTTAAACATTTTTTCATATCTTTTCTCCAATTCTTCCTAAATCCTATTCTTAACTCTCTACTCTCTAATTCTCTTATTCTCCATTCTCCAATATATTAATTATCTACTTATATAAACTATAAATAGATATAAATAGTATTATATTACTTATATTTGTTATCTAATTATATATTACTTATATATTTATTATATCTATTAATATAGTTGGAATTATATCTAATTAATTTGAAGTCATTCTATTACTCCCATCCGAAAGACCGAAAGTCCGAAAGAGGTACGAAATTATTCTATTATTTACACTTGTTTAATTACTAGTTAATTTGCTACATTTGACTCTTGTTTAATAGTTAGATAAATAGTTAATTAGTTTTTTACAATTTTTTATTAATTGCTACATTTGACTCTAGTTTAAAAAATATGTTGTACACAAAACTAGTTAATTCACCACTTAAATTGCTATAACTCGAATTAATAGTTAGATAAATAGTTAATTAGTTTTTTACAATTTTTTATTAATTGCTACATTTGACTCTAGTTTAAAAAATATGTTGTACACAAAACTAGTTAATTCACTACTTAATTTGCTATAACTCTTGTTTAATAGTTAGATAAATAGTTAATTAGTTTTTTACAATTTTTTATTAATTGCTACATTTGACTCTAGTTTAAAAAATATGTTGTACACAAAACTAGTTAATTCACTACTTAATTTGCTATAACTCGAATTAATAGTTACATAAATAGTTAATTAGTTTTTTACAATTTTTTATTAATCGCTACATTTTTTAGATGGATCGTCCTAGATATTCGGTTGATATGGGTAACCTCGAGCGCAACCGAACGAAAGAGCTTGCGAGGAAGAGATCCCGCAAAGGTAAATCACATATCGGCTCTTCATCTCAAAGTCGAGATGATTTTGATACGGGTTACGTAAGGAGGGATGGGGATGCGATGACCGACGAACAACTAGAACAAGAATTGCACCGACATAATTCCCGCTTTTTTCAAGACCAACCGAGGACCATTGACGAAGAAGAGCTCGAGGACGAGGACGACGATGTGGAGGAAGCAATTCCGGAGAGCCACGACGACGAGGAGGAGGAGGGTGGCGGCAGCCATGACGCCGACCAACCAGCCTCATCCCAAACAGGTACAAAAAAAAGTAAATCTGAATTAATGGCTAATAATTTTTCTAAGTGGAAGGACCCGAACACCGGGAATTGGACCGCAACTTGCAATTGGTGCAAGAAAAACTATAGCTTGGGGATTTCCGGCGGATACGGATCCGCCACAAGACACCTTAAGTCCAAACACCCGGTGGAGTATGCAAAATTAGGCGGCGGAACGGGGAAGCAAACGCAAATATCGAGGTTTGCAAATAACCAACAAGCTTTTGGTAATTTCTCATACAATGATGCACAAAATTTGACAGGTATGGCTAACTTACTTGTTGAAGAAAATTTGCCTTATTTGTTTTCTGAAAGTCTTGCTTTTCGTGATTATGCACAAACTTGTTTAAATCCGCAATATAGAGATTATAGTCGCAAAACAGTTAAGAAAGAAATTTCAAGGCTTTATGGTGCGAAAAAGGTAAGGTTACAAAATTATTTTGCAAACTTTGATGGACGTGTTACTGTATGTTCTGACATATGGGAGGATACTTATCATAATTTACATTATCTGGGTCTGACTGTACATTATATTGATAATGATTGGCATATGCATAAACGTGTTCTTGCTTTCCGTGAATTTAATGATCGTCACACCGCTGAACATATTTATATTTTGATTGAACGTATTTTAATTGAGTATAATTTAATTGAAAAGGTGTTTGCTATTGGTTTTGATAATGCTACTAATAATACTGCTGCTATTCCTAGATTGCGTGAATTGTGTGGTTCTACTTCTTTGATGGGTAGATTTTTTCATCAACGATGTGCATGTCATGTTCTAAATTTATGTGTGCAAGATGGTCTAAAAGCGTTGGGAGCATCGTTGGAGGTAGTCAGGGGGGGGGGGATTAGACGTATTTGGGGTAATGGACAACTTAGGAAAAAATGGCATGATTATTTGATAGAAAGAGGTGAGAGATATGTGGTTTTTCCAAAAGATTTGTCTATTCGTTGGAATAGTACCTATAAGTTAATTGGAGTTCTTCTTAGATATAAACAACATTTTCCTGCTTTTATGAAACAATATGATAACTATATTATAAACTCGGCTGAGATCGACACCTGTGAAAAAATTTGTAATGCTTTGATATATTTTAATAATGCAACTTAAACTTTTAGTCATGTTTATAAACCTACCTCAAACCTATTTATTCGTGAAGCTGTTAATCTCGCAAGTGCTTTTTCAAATTTTGAGAATGCTGATTATGTGAGTTATTTTACTGGTTTTATGAAGGAAAAGATTTTAAAATATTATTCACATATTCCGCATATTTATGGTATTGCATTTGTTCTCGATCCTCGTTTTAGACTTGGTTCTTTAGAAGAATGTTTGAATTATTATTATGCTGCTTTTTTTGGTCCATTGCCAATGTATGAGGACAACCCAATTGATCCGAAAAAAGAATACAACGATGTTAGTGATATATTTTATGCATTATTCAATGAGTTTCATGCACAATATGGCAATGCGCCCCCTCCCCCGACACAAACATCATCTAAAGGAAAATCAATTTTCCAATCTACGTTTGCCAATCTTATTAAAAAACGAAATCAACTCCCGCTACACAACAAAGTACAATTAATGAGATTTCTTTGTATTTAACTTATGATGTTGATTTTGAAGAAGATGATGATTTTGACGTACTAAACTGGTGGAAGGGAAAAGAAAGAATGTTCCCGGTTTTAGCAAAGATGGCTAAGCAAGTGCTATCAATGCCGGTTTCAACGGTTGCCGTGGAACAAGAATTTAGTTCGGCCGGCAATGTTCTAACACAAACCAAAACGAGGTTGAGCGTTGAATCTCTTGAGATGCTTATATGCTACCACGATTGGTTGAAACTTGAAAGTAGCACGTAGAGCTCAAGAAATTGACATCACTCCATCCCAACACTTTATGAATGAATCTACAACAGAGGGTGGTTCTGCCTATGCCGGAGATTCCGATTAAAAACAATTATAGTTCCTATTTAATTTTCAAATGTAGTTCCTATTTCATTTCAAATAAATGCACTTGAAGTTTGTTTTTTAATACTTGTATAAAACTATAAAGTATAAAATATAAATTAAAAAAAAAAATATTTAACCGGCCCGGCGGGTGGCCTGAGTGCCTGACCCGTGACCCGGGCGGGTGGCCCGGCCCGAACCGGACCCGTCCAACCCTCGGGCCGGTCCCGGCCCATGTGATACGAACCAGCTGCCCGACCGGGCCTAGGCCCGGCCCGAGTCCACCCCTACTCAAAGGTTAGGAGTGGTTTCTTGCTCAAGATTAATCAGGCACAGTCGGGATCCTAATAAAAACGAGTACAATTTCAACAATCTCAAAATCATAATTGCTTTAAAAACTTTCATCGACTGATTCATTATATTTCTGGCAAATCAATAAACCAAAGACAACGAAACAAAAGCACATTGAAGTGTTTCTCCGTGCAAGATGAAATGTTAATTACTTTGTACAACCTTGTACAAACATATGTTCTTATCTACATTCATACAAAATTAGAGAAGCGGTTACAACTTATGACATACAACTCAATGATCACTTAACCCTGCTCCTAAATCCTAATGTCTCCTTTTCCTTCTCTTCTTCTTGATGCTGGAGCCAGTGGGGAGTGGATGGCTATTCTCAATTTCTCATACCCAGCCACCCAGGGTAGGAAATACAGAGAAATGATGATAAATTAAACAATAGGTGCTATTATATCATCTTGAATGGCCACACAAAGACAATCCTGGAGCAGCCTTTAAAAATATCATATTGCTTTTTTTTTCTCTCTACTTATATGTCATCTATATTTTACAAGATACAGAGATTCTTGTATTGTATGTGTTCTTACTAAACATTTTTCCACCTCAAGATCAACACTTCGATGCGCTCCTAGCCTGCAAGTTAAGCAACTGTCACCAAGGGCCAAGGGAAATGTATGAGTTGGTTTCAATTTCCACAATTGAATAAGAAAAAAGAAATGCTGAAGTTCAGAGCCTGGAAAATGCTAGGGAAAGAAAATCAAAAGGAAAAATAAAAGATATATAGATGGAAAGAAATTAAAAATATAGGGAAAAGGGTAGAAGGAATGTAAGAGAACAAACATGTCTTTTATCTTATTTTTGAAATATACTACATAATAAAGTTGAAAACAGTATAGCTTTAAACTAAACTAAATAGGAGTTAAATAATATGAAATTCCAAAGCATGAGTACTATCAACTATGTATTTCCTTAAATATGAGTACTACCAACTATGGCATTAATACTGCCATGTTAATGTTTGATAATACCAACATATGACAGTATGGTTTAAGGAGAGCATATGGTATTTACTTCTAATAATATAGTGCTCCTATTTTGAAATTTCACATTGTTTTTGCTCCCATTTTGGGAGATTTCCTGAGAGCATATATACCCCTTAATTATATATCAAAGAACATATATATTCATAATTTTGTGTTTAATCGTTCCAAATAAAAGTTGAAAAGTATGAAGGGTATATTTGATTCTTTAACATTTAAGTCAAGGTATATTTGTACCTTCTCCAGAAAAAAAGGATTCAAAGTATTAATCAAATGTATTCATATGTTAATATGTTAATACCATATGAATACAAAATTTAAATCTAAATAACATTTTGAGAAGTTCTAATCAAATTTGATTTTCCTTCTTATTTACCTCCTCTGCTGCAAGAGAAAATAACCTTAACCATGTCTTGACACCTCATCATGCAACTGTGCAGACCTTACACTCGGTTCTTCCTAACAGTCCCAAGCAAAAAGAAATCACATCACAAAGTACATAATACTCGACCAGTTCATAAGTTCACTGTATTTCTGTTTTCTAATAAAGAGGTGTACTTTTGACTATTCAAGAGGTTCCGTCCTTGAAAAGCATAACAAACTAAAAAAACTAGGTGGGAACAAAGCATCCTTCTTAGAAGCAGACTGGACAAGATGTGTCTGAACACTAAATTGGGTCCAAACTCAACATATGATGAGTTGATGACTAAATTGAGCCCAAAAAGAGAATATAAATCAAATCTTAAATCTACATTCAATGTATAATCACATGAAATATGTCAGAGGAATTATTTCTTTAGAATATAAAATCTTGCTTTTCTGAACAATACAAGTCATTCAAGGAACTGACCCGAATACCATATGGGTAACTTGGAGTTCGGAAGAAGTCCATCTGGCCCTGCAGCCATAAAAAGGAATTACATTGGAATTAAAGTTCTTACTAACCTATTCAAAAGAAATACTCAAAAGCATATCTACAAACAGGCACCAAACACTTTATGTACCAGCCCATGTAAAGTAGGTTGAGTCCCATAGTAGCTATCATGTGTAGGTGCAATTGAGTTTAATTGTCCCTACAGAGAGCAACAGAACCATAACTATTACATGTACGATTGTCATATTAGAAAGATCAGAATAGGTCATGATCTAGATAATGACATACTAGCCCTTGTATAGGAGGTTGGTTTCCATAGTAGTTGTCTCGAGTTGGTGCCATCAAGTTCAACTGTACCTGCAAAAGATTTAAAGGCACCTTTGGAACGAGTCTATGACTCTATGTATTAGTGTGAGCGTGTGACCAAATTATAGCAGAGCATACCAAGCTTTGTACACCATGTTGTGGACCAAAATAGCCATCCAGGGTTACTGGTCTAGAAGTTAACTTGTCCTACATAAGAAAAATATGTTTTAGATAAGTAAAAAAAATAGATAACTCCCTCCATCAAAAAGATTGTGTCATCAAGGTACAACTTTTAAATTTTTGTATTATATACTACCTCCGTTCTTTTTTAAGTGCAACATTGGACTTTTTGCACTATTCACATATTCCACTTTGACTATATTTTATTAATTAATGTATTGTAAATTAAATTTTTAAAAAATATTGTTAAATTCTTCTCATTCTAAATTTTCAAAATATGAATTTTTTAAATTTTTTACTAATAGGGAATGAAAGATATTAATGGTCAAACTTGTGCGTTGGCAAACGTAAAATGTTGATTGTTGCAATTAAAAGAGAACGGAGGAAGTATTTATTTTTTTGTTAAACTAGATTTTGTGTACGTATCTTGCCAGGAAGTCAGAAACACTTCGTTTTTTATTTTAAAAAAGTGCATCAAGTTCAAACAAAATTACTGTAGCTTCTTTGTTGAAAAGGGGCTTTTTTGGAACAATAATACTTTATGAAACAAGATTTATTTTTTGAACGGAGGGTGTCATATTTTTATGAATATTGTATTAAAGTTTTGCATATAACAAGATCAAAATAAAGCAAACCATTTGTTGCAAACTGTCTGGGGTTCCAACAGTCATAACATCAGGTTCAGAGTTTGCCTGTACATCAAAGAGGAACTGGTTACATATGACACAGTAAAAGACATAAAATCAGTCACTGCATGCATACGTTGTATACAATATTTAAGAACAGACCTTTCTTTTTTTGGTTGGATTATTTTTCTTCTTATTCATTTTACTGATGCTTCTGCTTTGGTTATCTTCTTCAATGCATAAAAGACCCGGAGTAGATGAAGTGCCAACATCAATGAGATTCTTATTTGCGCTATTAACATTCACACAATTACCAAACGTTTCATCAAGTGAGCGAAGAGCAAATGTGAAACTTTCTTGAGATAAAGATCCTTCTTCGGCCAATCGCATTGCTTGCTGTGATAAAAAATTGTATCTTTGAACCCTAGAATGCACACCTTCAGCTCCATCTATCATAAGGTATCGGGCCTTTGCGTCTTTTGTCCATCGCTTCAAAATATACTGTTGAGGGATGATAGCAATTCCACCTAGTTGAAGCACAACCATGCAATGTCTACAAAGGAAACCTTTATACTCAAACAAACGGCACATACAAGACACTTCTGACTTCACTTCATTCAAGGTCACCATGAATTCTTGACTCTTTTCAAAATCCTGGATTTTATAAGTCACGGTCTTCTCATCTCGCTTTTGTTCTTTCGGGATACAGGCGACGGCCCCCACAACCTCAACTTGAAACTTTTTAAACACAGAATTTGTGTACACCCCAGCCACATTCTTCTCAAAGGGTGATGGGGACTTCAAAGCAGGCTGTTTGTTCCACGTATCAGAATCTGCCTTTGCTTCCTCTTCATACCTATCTTGTAAGATGGATTCATATTGTTTAACAAAATCCTGGATTGTCGTCTTCTTGTGCACATACTTGTCAAAGAAAGAGTTCACGCTCTCTGACCGATGACCCGTAGACATACCGGCTAAAAATATGTTCCTCATGAGTGCCGGCACCCATTTCATCCGATCTTCATACAGTGACTGTATCAATTCATTCTCTCCAAGATTGAAATTTTCAACAAGGTTTTGCCAACTCTTATGAAATTCACCATCTGTCCATGACCTGTAAATGCAATCTTCAAATTCTGTTACGAACTCCTCATTCTGCTTAATGACATGACTGAGGTTTTCAGTGATCTTCCCGATTACTTGCCACTGGCAAAAGAAATGGATTGTTGATGGAAAGGTTTCTGAAACAACCGAGTTCATGACCTTTCCTTGGTCTGTGATTATAATTTTGGGAGGTTGATCACTCATTGCCTTCAACCATGTCTGCATAACCCAATAAAAAGTTGCTGGACTATCATCAGACAGCAAAGCACAACCAAGTAACATGAACTGATAGTGCTGATTCACCCCTATAAAGAGCACTAGCGGCATCTTGTACTTGTTTCTAAGATAGGAAGTGTCAAAAGAGACAACATCACTGAAATTCGCATAATCCTGTCTACTTTTCGCATCGGTCCAGAAAAAATTCCTCAAATGTTGATCATCGCTTACATCTACAGCATAAAAGAAGTTTGAATTCATACTCTGCATCTGAATAAAAAATTGAAGCAAGGTATTAACATCACCCACTTCCATAGCCAGATTGCGAGATTTATCAGACGGACTTTTGGAGTCGTGTTTTAGACCAACAACATTTTTGTATTCGGCAAATTGTACTGCCATTACAGCATACATCCTCCTAGTTTGTTCACTGACGGCTTGTGCAGGTAAAAGTTCATGGTTATGATCCTTTTCAAATCTGTGTATAATCCATTTCCCATCAGGTCTTCTCTTAACGTGCATGCTTGCTTTGCAATCTGTCTTTGCACATGCCCGTCGACCAGTGGCGTTTTGTTGATCCTGCTTGCTACCCTGTCTACTGTGTGGATGATTTGCAGGTTTCTCATATTCACGCTTGGTACCATATTTAGTGCATGCAAATTTAGCATCAATAAATTCTCGTGATGTCTTTGAACGACGGCTGTTTTGTATTGCAGTGGTAAATCCCATTGACCTGGCATATTCTTGATAGTAGGCATATGCCTCTGCATGTGATTCAAACTCCATACCAGCAAGTGGCTCAAGATTTACATCCTCTTTAAACTCTACCATAGTTGTTGTCAGAGAGTTGACACCTCCTCCATCTTCAACATGTATCTTTTCCTCTATGTCCATATCTCCATCCAATCCAACACCATTGAATTTCCCGTCATGATCAAGCAAGTTAACAATACCATTTGTTTCTTCCTCTTCTTCTTCTTTATTATGATCTCCAGAAGGTAATCTAAGGTCTATATCCATATTCACAACACACTACTGGCTGGCTTTTAGGTATATAACATAATAATATAGTATTATTAGAGACCTGATATGCAAGAAAACAAAAAAACAAAGAACATAAGTGTTATTGGAGCAACTACATCAAAAGTCTTCTTTAGAAACCAGCATGGAACCAAGAAAATCCAAATGTTGCCAACGGGGGTTAGTCGAGTTTATTACAACTGAGGAATGGAACCAAGAAATCTCAGGTGCGAAAATACTTTATATTGTGTGCGAGGATAGCTCAATTGGAATTCATATTATATAGGTATGGAAAAGGGGTAACTCACTTGTTTAAATCATTGTTTCTAAAGTAGCTGTTTGATAGTTGTGCATAATGTAATAAATGGTTACATTATATTTGTTCATGCAAGTGTGTGAGCAGATTCCTTTGAAATACTAAACATAAATGTTTATATAATCATGGATATAAAAACAGCACACCAGACATTGCTGAAACTGAGGCTACTATTAGGGGATGAGACAATGAGAACCCTCTTAACACTTAGCTTATAAAAAGAATTGTTTTCTTGCATCAATGGGAAAATGTTTTAGTCAAGTGTGATATAAAAGTGGTTCTAATTCTTGAAACTATGTTTGGCCACTCAACTAACAAGCCAGTCTACAAATAGATATAATTATGTCATTTCACATTTGTAAGTTTATACTCCAAATCAAGAGTTCCCAACACCAGAACAGCACAGATATGCTTGTTTTGATCAACTCTCAACTTCGAAAAGGGAACATGGAAGCTCGGGCTGACAAGCTGTATACGAAACTTAAAAACCAGCCATCATGCACTTCAAAGAACGTCTAATCCCTTATCAGGCATTGTTTTGTAATTCAATGAAATAAGAGTAACATATTGAAGATTTCTCCAACCCTTCTTATATTACTGAAAGCGCAATACAGAAGTGATCTATCCGCTCCAGGTGTTGAATATAGACACCTTTTTTAAAGAAAAAATACACGAATTTACCACATTTCCCTTCAAAGAGCAAAGAAAAGAGGACCAGTCTAGAGCAAGAACGCATGTAGCTTTCAAGTTTCAAAAGCAGCTAAAATGGGAAGAAAAAGTGCACAAGATAAAATAGAAGCAAATCAAAGTAATAATCAGAAGCTAAACAGTGACAGCTATCTTGAAGGAAAAGAGTGATGGAGGGAGGGAGATAAGATGAGGAACCGAATAAATTGTGATACCTCTAATCTGAGAGTCTAAGAACGTTTACGTTGTAGCCTTTCATCTTTCCCATAATCTCACGCACCTCCACTCTCCCTACCTCACACTCGATCTGTAGATTGGAATTCCACGCGAGGGTCTCTGGCGAGTGGGATGGGTTTTCCTTCCTCTGCTAATTAGGGTTTGTTTGGTGTTCTTCTTCTCGCAGCTGCGACTCACTCGCCTAGTCGCCTCACTCGCTGATGAACCCGCCGCCGCGCGTGACTGGCCTCTCCGCCAGCTCTGCAGTCAACGTTACTACACCAAACGCTTCTCTGTCGCGCGTTCGTCGCGATTGTTTCTAGAGATTGTCGACGTATTCCAGCTGCAACTGGTTCATCTCCACGCGAGATGTCCTGAACCAATATCACACGCTCCTTTCAAGTCCGGTTGATTTTTTAAGAAATGATTACACACTAACCAGAAATAAACTTCACGCAAATTAAAAAAATAAATTTGATTTTACTGTGAATTACACTGTTACGATAATGTTTGAAAATGTTTTGCACCGTTTTGATGTAGATAATTTGACGACTAAGGAAGAGAGAAGAAGTGTGAAGCTTAGTTTGGGCTTACCCAAAAAGAAAAGCCTGAAGTTTATTTAGGACCGCAGAGAGTATTTATGTTTAAATTTTAAATTATGTAAATAAATTTTATCTTGATAATATTTTTGAAAAAAATATCATTTTTAATACGTACTCATCATTTAAACATTATTGAAAAACAAATTTTGCTTAACTATTACTCCGTATCAAAATACTACGTATAATTTATAAATAAATAAAATTTTAGTTAGTAATACGTAGTTCACAAAAATAATAATTCGTTGTATATAAAAATCACATATTTTCACTATTTTAATTTTAATCGTATATAAGTCATTATTTCTAAAATGAAAAAAAAAAAACTTTGCTAGATTAAAGGAACAAGATCAACATCTTTAGTTCTAAAAGATTTTAGGTTTACCTAACATGAATCGATAAATGATATTGCGATAAAAACAAAATCAAGATAAGAATGATAAAAAGATAAGATAAGATAAAACGAAAATATAAATACACGGATAAATTCGAAATAAAGATGAAAGTGATAAGACAACAATGGTAAAATAGGATATATGTAAATAAAAAAGAATAAAAGGATAAAGAACATAAAAAAGCAAAGAAGAGTAAAAGATGGATGAAAAAAACATTCACACAAATGTTCAGTCTACACTTTGTTATTTTCAAAGTCACACTCTCATCCAGTACAAAAACAAACATATAATTCCTGACTCCTCTAGTACATCCCTATTTGGGTCATACCCCCTCCCCTAATGTCTCTTTTCCAGTACAAAAACAAACATATAATTCCTGACTCCTCTAGTCCATCCCTATTTGGGTCATACCCCCTCCCCTAATGTCTCTTCTCCTTACATCACTCGATCTTCTACACGCTTGACTAAACTATCACAATGGATTCTCCTCAACCTTATCTTCTATAAGTGCTACTAGCTCTCACATTTTGTTTAATTATCTCATTTCTTCAAACGGATTTTTTTTTGTATTTCCACACGTCCAACGCAGCATGCACATTTTTTTCATATTCATATTCTGAATGTAACATTGTTTCACTGCACAACACTCTACATCATACAGTAATGCAAACATTATTGTTGTCTATAAAATTCATCATTCAGTCTAGTCGACATACATAAATCATCATGTAAAAATGCCAGGTGAAATAAGATTATAACATATTGAAGACTTCATATTAATTACATTAACTAATATATACCATATAATTTATCAAATTAAAACGATGTCATTAATAAAGGAAAAGACATTACTAATATATAACATATTATTTAGGGAATTTGACATTACAAAAGCAAAAGACATATATGGATGAAAATAAGACTAACTAATTCCATATGGATATGTGGTCATTCATCTGTGGTCATTCATCTTACTTTAAGTTAAACTAGTAGTTCACCCGTGCGATACATGACAAAAGGCTTAAATATATACAATTAAATAAATGTTCTCAAAAAGCATATTGTTGTATCAATTAAAATAACTAAAGTTGAATAACAAACATTAGATCTACAAATTTTGAAAAATTCATTTGTAGACCGTAGTCCATGTTGTGCTTTTTCCGTCACCATCTACTAACAGAATTTTCAGCCCTTTTCTATTGGGTGACTCTGGAAACTGGAACATAAAACTGACCATGAGAGAAGACTGGTTTATTCAACAATAAATTACTTGTATTAACCGCAACATAAAGCTGACCATGAGAGATTTCTAAACAGACTTTCTAAAAGCTTTTGCCCGTGCAGCTTACCCGTGCGATGCACGGGCAGAAATATTGCATACAAACTACTTCCTTAGAGATAATATTGGTTATCTTCGTTGTACTTTAATCGTCACCATCCACTAACAAATTTTTTAGCCATTTTCAATTGATAACTCTCAAAAACTTGTTTCTATAATCTATTATAATATAAAAGCAAAAGAAAACTTCCTAAGGAAGTTCCCGCCTAAACATAGAAGCTTCCAGAATAATGGAGTATCACAATTGACAACAGTAGCTATTAATATATTAAAATATTAAAATATTTACATATTAAGAATTTAAAGATAACACATCGGCAGGTGCATTTCTACGAAGTAAGCTACAGTAAAAATAATCAGTTGATTGGCTGTTTTGTAGGCAGCTACACCTCCCCAAATGTTGCATTTAATGCATCTCTGTCTTGGCTTTATGAGATCCGAATCAATTCATGTATATAAATAGGGGCAAAGTAAGATTAGGAACTTAGTTTTGAGGTTAAGACAAATCCAACTCATAATCAAAATTCAAAATGTCTTGGTGATCGTTTATAAAAGAAACAGACAAAAGCAGGTCTAATTGGGGAATAAAAGTCCGAGCTATACGAGTGCATAGAGTTACACCACATGACCATGTTCCAGCTTCCTTGGAATGCATATTCCATGATAAGGAGGTATATTTTAGGTTGAAAACTTGCAGCACCTGCTTTTATTGAAAGATAGTATTGTAGAAAATTGATTTATAAAAAAGTTGAGAAGTGTGTTTTTTTATTACAGAAACCTTTGGAACAAGATCTCAAAAGACTGATACATTTTTAAAATTTTGTTGAGGCAGATTTGTGAAAAAATTGCAATTTTTGCAACACCTTTTGAACCTTCCTTTTACAATCCTGTAGAATTTCTTTAAAGATGCATTTGAAACTTCCAGGATGCAACTTGGATTCCATAACCGTTTGTTGTTTGTGTGTTTTTAGGGAACTAGAATTCACGCTCATATAAAAAAGAATGTAATGAACAAATTTGAACCTCTCTTCAAAAAGGGTGGTATGTATGCAATCAAGGATTTTATGGTCCAAGATAACAAAATGTCATTCCGTACAACACAAAATGTTTTCAAATGGGAATTCATAAAAAAACAAATGCTTTTGAGTGGCTTTTCAATGATTTTCCAGCAAGACCATATGAACTGATATCATTTCCAGCTTTACAAGAGCAACAGGATATAGACGAGAGTCAAGCATTTGGTATGTGATTTGTGCTAGGGCCGAGTATAATATTGGTATTATCATATTGCCAAAGATGGCAATTTTTAAATAATCTAATGCAAAGTTTGAGAATTACAGATGTCATAGGAAAAGTGGAATATCCTAAACTAGAGAAGGTAGTTAAACGAAAGAATGGTTATTCAACGTTAAAGGAGTTGGTTGTAACTGATGATGAGTAAGTATGTTTAAGTTTGTAACAGGCAAAAGTACTACTATAATTTAATGTTTTGTAGGTATAAGGTCAATGTCCGAGTGATGGATTCCACAGGCAGCACAACATTTGTGTTATGGGATAAGCAGATGACCGATCTGATTGGGAAGAGTGCAAATGCATTGAAGAATGAAATAGAGAAGGTTGGTATTTAGTTTGTTGTTTATGTTAAAAGTTTTAGTTTGATGTAGATGTTGATGTAAATTTCATAAACCATACAGAAGGAAGTTGGTCCAGATTATTACCCGACAGAGATTGAAAGATTGGTGGACTCTCAAATGCTCTTTAAAGTGCGTAGCAAACAAGATGATAGGAATTTCCGGGGAACAATAACTTTTAGTGTCCTTGAAGTGAATGACGATTCCACTGTTATTTATCTTTATCCTTCAAAAAGAGAATCTTACGAGGTAAATATTTAAATAATAAATTACATAATGTACTATTATTATAGTATATTGTAACTTAGTAATTAATATACTTATCTTAGGTATTCTTTGTTAAGGAGGACGATGAATTTACTGCTCTAATGAGGCAATATGGAAGTGAAAAGGTATGTTATTTTAATTATTGTGAAGTGTATAATTTTTTATTAAGTTTGGTTATTTAGAGTATTTATAACATTTATGATTTTAAAAAATCAGATCAGCTCAACTGGAAGAGAAGTAGATAGTCCTTTGCTGGACAAGAATGATAGGGAGGTGATAGAAATAGATGCAAACAAGGTGAAGCGTTCTTTGATAGGGGAATTCTCCTCTTCAACTCCCAACAAGAAATTGAGGACTGTTATAAAACAAGAATTGGATTGATCTCACAAGAGAAGGACTTTTTAAGTATTTTTGATGATGAAACTTCATTTTGTGATACTTGAAATATCAAGGGATATCAATATTCCAAGTGCTGAAACTTTGTTATGCAACATTTTGTGATGTTTTGTTATGTTTTGTGATGCTATTGTTGCTAAGATGCAATACGTGGATGGAACTTAAGTGGATGTTTTTTATTTATTTAATGTTATTTAATTTGTGATTGGTTATTTAATGGTTATTTGTTATTTGTTATATATATATATATGTGTGTGTGTGTGTGTCTATACATATGTATATATCTTATCCTATGTTGGAAGGTTATGTACGGCATCATCTATAAAAGAGGAAGGTAAGGTAGATCTCTAATTGGGTGAGATACAAAACAGTTTTGTCTATTAATGCTAAGAGGTACAAAACATATTTTGTCTATTATTTGCAGGTGATTGGAGAATATTGTTAAGATTGTGGATATGCGTAGGGTTTACACACGAATCTAGGACTTGGAGCATGAGGAAAAATAGGAAAACTATAGGTTGTAATCTGATAGAGAAAATAAATAATTCATTTGTACATGATTTATATTTTCTGTAATTATACAAATCAGATTGTTATCTAATGAGAAATAGTTATTTTTTGTATTTATACACTTTAGGTTGTAATATGGTAAATAGTCAGGATTATTTTCCAGATAAAATAATTCATTTATTGTCCAGAAAATATTCAATACGCATCCTATGAATTATATTTAACATTTTTAAAATAACTGATTAGAAAATAACATATACCGTATCTAAAT